TTAGGTTTTTAAAAATACATCCTCCTCTGGCATGCCAACATCTTACAAGTCAAAGTTGTTGGTGTTTTTGGCACTCTGCTCAAAAACACTGCCAACCCTTGCTCTAAACCTCTCAGATATACATACTACCTAGCCTGATAAATTGGTAGATTTGGGAAATACTGCTTTATTGTTGTTTGGTTCCTTGCTATGCTGCTGCAGCATGTATAGTTCTAATACAAAGAGACAAAAAGATAAATGTTATACCACTGATCACTAAACATGATCACCAAATACATATGATCTATTTTGCCCCCATCAAATAATAGCCGGGATGCCTAAACCAGCCCACTGTAAATAGGAATTTACTTTAAAGAGTTAAACCCAAAGAACAACTAATTACCCTGTTCTCTGTTAGAGTAGCTTTATTTACTGTCCGAGTCTTCAGAGTCTGGAATAGACTCCCTCAGAAGTGGTGCAAGCATATGCTCTTGATACCTTTAAGAGATGCTTGGATACTTATCTTGCTGGGGTGATCTGACCCCAGCTGACTTCCTGCCCCTTGGGCAGGGGGCTGGACCCGATGATCTTATGAGGTCCCTTCCAGCCCTAATGTCTATGAAATCTATGAAATCTAGGACAATTAAAGTACCTCTGGTCTATTCCTCTCCTTCCCCCTCCAACTGTTCAGAAAGGTTTGTTAACTTCTTATCTTTTATTTTTCAGTTGATGCACAATTATTTTTTAAATATTCATTTGACTCCGGTGGTAAATTTTGAGCTGTAGAAAAGAGCCCAGTGTAAGAGGCAAGAAGATATCTGAAGGCACAATCGGGCTCATTATGGGTTTGTCTATATCAGGGCTGTCCAACTGGTGCAGAGTACATGCAGCCCAGGAGGGGTCTCCAGGCTCTGGGATCTCCAGGCTCCCCCCTGTCCTGTCCAGGGGAACAGGGCAGAGCAACAGAGCTCAGTGAAGCCTGCACTGCTGAGGAAGCCTGTGGTGCTGTGCTGTGCTGTGCTGTGCAGTGGTGGAGCCCACAGCCAAGGAGGCATGAGCGGGGAGGAACACCCCCACTTGTAGTGTGGCAATGGAGAGGTCACCCACGTTTGTGCACAGTATAGTGGTTAGGAGGTAGCCATTCACTCACGTGGCACCAGGAGAGCTTGCAGATGAGGAGGTTAAGGGAAGCCATGGCCCTCACTGGTGTGGCCCCTACAGTGTGCAGCCCCTGCTGGTACAGCACCCAGAGCATGTGGCCCCCAGCTGCCAAAACTCAGACAGCCCTGGTCTATACTACTGCAGTGATAGGGTCCTGAGGAAGGATGGAGCTGAACACATCCTGCCCAGGTCTTGCCCTTCCAAGCTCACTGATGCATTCCAGATACATCAAGAATGCTTCATGGGCTTGAGAACAGCCACTGGGGATGAGCCCAGTGCAGCTTCACTGATGAACTACTAGGTCTGATGCTGAAGGTTCAGGTGCATTCTCTGTTCCTACTGTAGCCAGGACACGTTGATGCTATACAAGAGACAATCCCTGCAGGTCTCATTCAACCCTTACTGATGTGTGACAAAGAATAAAAGCACTTTAAAAGGTATAACAAACAAATTACCTTTTTACTTCTTTGGCATCACTTGCAATGAAGAATCCTAAAGTACCTTCTTGAATCTTGACATGGTTTCCCGGATTGATTAATATGCTGCTCAGTGAAACAAAAACAAACAAGAAAACAAATCTATGAGCTTCTATCAATTTTAACTTAGTACTCCAAAATGGTCTATATTTGTTCTATTATAGGGGACCCACTAGTCAGGAACGGCTGCAAGGAAATTTGAAGCCATTCTTCCTTGAAATTTCCAACCAAAACCAGAGCTACAGTATCAACAATGCTATGATTAAGACAGAACTTAAATTTGTGACAAACATATATGTTCCCTTGAAATCATATCACAATTTCAGCTCTTACATTGCTGCTTTCTTAAGTTCTAGCTATCACATAATGATCAACTTAATGCAAAAAATCCCTGGGAAAAACCATGAGTAAAGCTGAGCAGCTTAGCTCTCTTAGTTAATCATGCAGACTAGTATAAAGCTTCATGATATGGTGAAAAGGGAAGAGATCCCCAAGGAAACAACTGCCTCATATCAGTAGAGTCATTGTCAAACTAAACCCTTTTATACAACTTTGTGCCAATTTCTCTTAAAATGAGAAAAAGATAATGGGACCCCTATCTGTATACATCATATTACTTTATAATAAATACGCACATGTACTCCAGGGAATGGTACAAGACAACCAGTCACCATTGCTGAGCAAAACATAAAATGAATTTAATATTTAAAAACAAAACAAAACACTATGCAACCTATGGAAGAAATGAAAGAAACACAACCACCCTGATAGAATGGGAGCAACTACATTTGATGGAGGAAATTATAAGCCACTAACACCCTCTGTGTTGACTGCTGTCTCCGTATAAAATTTCTAGTGCACTGTCATAAAGATTTAGCACCAGAGTATCTTTGGTTAAGGCAATTTTGTGAGATACCAGGCAACCATATATATTCTCCAACATGTTTTACTCCAAAGAATAGTATAACTAAGCTCTTAACTTGACAAAAAGCTAAATAAAACTTGTCAGATGTTTCCATTAAAAAAAAAATTGTTTGAAGTTTAATCTTTCTAAATCAAAGAGTAGGAGTAGTGCACATGTGAGACTTACAGTAAACAAAGACTGTCTGTGCTACTTGTTTGCTTATCAAACACTGATAAGAAAGATGCTGATGCATCACTAGGTAAGACAGATAGGGATGGACATAAGGTGATAACACTGAAAGGCCAAAAAACCTTTGACTTCATTCTCTGAGGAAAAAATACAAGTTTCATGTTTAGTCAATCACACTTACTATATTATTAGATTGGAAAGCTCATAAATATAGAATATTTTTATATACTGTATGTGCATGATTGTGTGAACACACACAAAATAATACACCGAGTAAAAAAATTTGAGAGAAAATATGGAAGTTCAAAAGTTAGGACATATCGGACTGAAGGCTGCCCATACAATGTTAATTCAGTCTCTTGTTATACATTTTATCATAATTTTTAATTTAATAAAATATTTTCCTCCCAGAAACCCCACTTTATTAGTGCACAAGATGGGTGGCACCAATTTATAGCTGTTCAGTAATATGCTTTATTCCCAATGCTGAAAAAAATGGTCCCTCTCTGAAGATAGAATTTTTATTTCCTAAATGGTTTTTCTACTATGTTCATCATTATAGTTATTTGAGTGCCTCACAAATACTTATTCTTTTCATAAAGTCCAGTGTGATAAGGGTATGCTATGACCCCAATTTCACAGATGTAGTCCTAAGACACTAGGGGATTAAAATCAAGTCTTTCCCTACCCATTAACTCTGGGAGCCCAATTTCAGACACTTAGGAGCTAAGTTTTCAGAGCACTTGGCATTAGAGGACTGTTAGAATCATAGAATCAATGAGTTGGAGGGGACCTAGACAGATCATCTAGTCCAACCCCCTGCCATGGACAGGAAGGAGCACTGGGGTACCAGGGGTCATAAGACCCCAGCCAGGTGCCTATCCAGTCTCCTCTTGAAGATCTCCAGGGAAGATGAGAGCACCACCTCTCTGGGAAGCCTAGTCCAGGCTCTGGGCACCCTTACAGCGAAGTAGTTCTTCCTAATATTGAACCTAATCCTACCCTCCCTCAGCTTGTGGCCATTGTTCCTGGTGACTCCAAGGGGGGCCCTGGTGAACAGACTTTCCCTGAGTCCCTGCTGGTGGCCCCTGATAAGGTTGTAGGCAGCCACAAGATCCCCCCTCAGTCTCCTCTTGCAGAGACTGAAGAGATTCAGGTCCCTCAGCCTCTCCTCACAGGGCTGGCCACGGAGGCCCTCAACCATACGAGTGGCCTCCTCTGGACCCTCTCCAGGTTCTCCACGTCCTTCTTGAAGTGCGGCGCCCAGAACTGGACACAGTACTCCAGCTGCGGCCTGACCAGCGCCGCATAGAGGGGGAGCAAGACCTCTCTGGCCCTGTTAGTGATGCCCCTGTTGATATATGACAGGGTGCAGTTGGCTCTGCCTATGGCTTCATCACATTGCCAACTCATATTCATCCTGG